CTGTTGAGCTACCATGAATCTCTTCCCCTCATCCCTATGTTAAAACGGCTAATCGTCGATGCAAAATCCTCTGTCTGTATCTATTGGGCTTCTTCACTTTTGAAAACCGACGTAAAATAGAGGAGATAGGGGTAGTGTTGGTGTCTTCGTCTGTAGCCACACAGCATTCCCGAAGTAGTCTTAGCCGCAAAGGACGAAATAAATGGAGAATCGAACGGAAAAAGAGGGGAATGCTACCTATTTGCACTCGGCCTATTCTATTTTAAATTTTTATTGACAACCTTTGATTTGAGTAGCAAATGGCACAGACTCACCGTGGCAGACAGTGAGACAAAGAGAGACCTAATAGTTTGAGCAAGAGCCTACCTATTTATTCTATTTAACAATCTTTTTTCCAATTCTTTCCCATTGGTTCTCCTGAACGGTTTCCAAAAATCAAAACTTACATTTTCTTTTTTGCTTGGAGAGGCGGCAGAACAAAACTGCTCTTTATTTTTATGAATAGATCATTGTATTGGCGAACAATTTAACCATTGAAGCTTGCTAAAGCTGTCGGATCACTTTATTCCCCTTTTTAAAAGAGACATACATTGGATCCCTTTGAAAATGTTATTTTTTTAATACCCCATGAATGTTTTTCTGGCTCGATTCTATTGCCTTTATGAGACCTGGTGTGGCATTTTGAACTGAAAACGGTTGGGTTGAGTCGATGAATTCTGTTTTGACGTCTCAAATGTGCTATGGGGTTTGGAGAAACGACGACTATTTCGCGCAAATCTCGATTCCCTTGTCAAATCGATTTCAATATTGCCGTCAAGCCAACTTCCGTTTGTTGCAACCTGATTATTCTTAAGCTACGACCCAGCTACGCTTCATTTAGCCAGTCATTTATGTTTAACAGACGATGCTGAAACCACTACCTTCCGCCTTTTCGTGGTGCATGGTATCACCCTGCACCGCAGTAATTCATGAAAATAAACTCATCCTTGGCACCATTAATTGTCAGTTTAATGTTTTTAAGATTTTTTTGAAAAACAGGCGCCTTGGTGTTTGAGGGTGCTAGTGACTAGTTTCCTTGGGCGTCATTGTTTAGCATCGTCGACTATCAAACCCAATATTGTACAGTTCCCGTACTTTTTTCCTTTGCATGGAGGCGTTAAGCTATTAAAGCTAGTTGGGCGTTTGCTATTTTAAAGATTTTATGCAGTGGATATGGATTTACATTTGCACTCAGTTTTTCTCAATGTTTTTTCACTAGATCGTCTTCTCCATCCATCTTCACGGCCAATCCAATGGGTAAGAATTTTTCTACCTTGCTACATGGTTGCATGATTTATGCCACCGTTTTACTACCCTCCTCATGTCCCTCTAGAACTAAACGCACGAACACCAAATCCAAGCCTAAGAAGGAGGCTGCAAATAGCGGTGCTGCTACTTCCACTTCCGACGTTCCCATCTCACGGCGAAAGAGGGCAAGGCATAGGTGAAATTGGGAGAGAGGGCGAATCGTCTTCCATTCCTACCAGACTATTTTTATATGAACGCAGAGAATTTGTTGGACAAATTTTTATTTCTAGACGAATAAAAATAATCCTTACTATACAAAAACGTTTGGTGCCATTGCCGTTGTGAATTTGGGAGGCGTATTGGGCCTTAAATGCAAAAGTATGCAACTGCATTTGCTTTTTTAATTAATCTAGGAGCAATTTTGATTAAAATCCCAGTCGAATTCTTACCTTTTTTTGCTAATTAGCTTTTGTTTGTTATATTATCATTCCCTTTATTTCGCCTTCGCAACTGCGTCCAAGCGACTATTTCTAACGGATTACAAAAAAGTGCTTGGAAAGTAGAACACTGGTAAATCTAATGGATTACTGAAAGAAAACCTGCAGAGAGAATATGTGCGCTGCTTTCGAATCCTGAACGAAAAGGTTAATTAGTTTTGGTTCTTCCAAGTTAGGTGTTCTTCGGCACCCTTTCATTAACTTAACCAGGGCAGAACAACCACTCGTCCTCCGACGTGAAGCTTGATAAGAATTTGGTATCCCAAATTTTTGCCATATCTACATGAAAAAAGCTTACTAATATCACATACAATGGGCAAATTTAATCGAATAGGGATGAATTCCATCACTTGGGTAGTCCAGCGATCCTAGGTTTGTTTCAGTAATTCAGGTAATGTGGGTTTGGCAGTATTTCTGCGCCTCGATTCGCGTGAACTCTTTAGTATATGTGTGTATCGCCGTATCGGTCAGCTTTCGACGACAACATCAAAGATGCAATCTGATTCAAGTTTGCTTGAATTGTGAGTTACCTTTTTTTCACAATTAGGTGTGTGCCGCGTGGTTACCTGTATTTTGCTATTTGGACGATCCTGAGGAGAGCCGTCAAACTTCATTCTCATTGCCATGCAAAACACCAACATGAATGCTTCCAACTTGGACACCTCACATTCAAGTGATTTTTCCAGAAGCTCAAGTATCGGGTTCGTCATCGAATGGAAAAAAAAAGGTCAAGAAGAAAGTCCTGACGTTTCTTCTACAGGGCAAAAGGTTATTAATGTTGGAGCCCCCTCCTCAATCGCAACGATCAATTATTTTGATCTAGCCCTACAAATGTTCTCAACTGGGTATTTGTAAGCCTGTAACAATCTGATGTTGAGTTTTTTTTCTTTGTTGAAAACTATTTGACGCATCAGCTGGTTGGGCTTTCCCACTGAAAGTAACATAGACACCCCAGACAAATCCATCATGTTGAAGTTATCCACATTAGCATTGAATTAACTTCCAAAGGACCTTAAACCTCAGATTCACAGTCAAGCATGTCAAAGAACCTGAACACGGTTAATCCGCTCAAAACATAGGATACATCCGTCGAACAGTTTACATAGTCCGATGTATGCCATCAGCTTTGGCCTTACTCGATTTCCGGAATAGCACTTATTCCAACTGCTACTAGGCAAGTCACTTCGATCTCGCACGATGCGATATCCCCTCGACGTTCATAATTATTGGCTATCAGCGTCACATATATGCGACGCCTCAAACGCATTATTTGAATCCCATACAAAAACCGGCTGTTTGTGGTAATTAGACAGTATCCAATCGTGTCATGAAAAGATTCATAAAGTTTAAAGCCACAAGCGGACTCTCAGTTTATTCTATTTTCTGATCAGCACAACTAGAAGAGCACAGCAATAAAAAATCCGAGAGGGACCCCGCTAACGAATGTGTTAAGCTACTTATGAAATTGGACACTCGGTGGTTGCCACCAGGGCACGATTTTAGCGCATAGAAGCCAACTGCGAAGTAGCACACTTACAGTTAAGTCATCATCTTGCGAAAAACCCTTACACTGTCAACTTCCAGTCCTCCTTACTATGGTAATGATGATGAAGCAAATGAGATCTATGCGAGAGTATTTGCAGATGTTCAAGTGATTCAAAAAATAAGCAAAATTAGGAGACGGAAGCGCGACAGACGCACGCACACAGAGTCTGGTGCCACAAGTGGGATAGGGCGACAGTCGTGGGGAGGGCGTTAAATCAAGAGGCAGATCGCTACTGGTCCAGGCAATTAGGCGAGACGGGAAAGACCAGCTTAAGCTCGCTGTCCGCGGACCGGATAGGAGTGGTGCTGCGCAGGTGGAAGTCAATCAACTCCTGGATACTGCTAAAGACCCGGTCCTTCGTTCGCACCTTCACAGGGCAAAAAAGGGTTTTTTAGTTTAGTTCAAACTTTTATGTAGCATTGGTTCACACACAACCGACTATGAAAAGGCCAGAAGTGTGACGTCATCAGGACTAACAATTAATTCAATCCGAACGCGCACGCATAATGACTGAGCCGATTTACATAGAAATTCAGTTTCTCTGTCCCTGTGAAAATTGTTTGTTTTCTGCGACTGATTCACGATTCATACGCAAACTTTGTAAGCTAGCACTTATGACAAGACATTTGAAAGGCAAGATAAGCAGAAACAGTAGCGTTGTAAGCGATTTGAGCGCAATTTGTGGCTGACGGTAGTAAGGCTGTACAAGTGAATAAGTGAAAAGGCGATAATAAAGGAGGAAAGAAAAAGGCGTGAGCACAGACCTGACCCTCAGGATTAACGAGGAGGAGATGGCGTTTCTTGCCATTCTGCATGCCACTGAGGACGAATTGGTTGGGTTGTTGAGTGGAGGCACGCACGAGGAAGTCGCCGTCGTACTGCAGTAACGACTCCGCCTTCTGCCGCGTCACCTGGCCCACGTACCAGGGCTCACCCACCGGTTCCAGAGACCGCCACTCCCCACCTTCCTCCTTTATCGATTCCTGTACTGGGTGCGGTGGCCCCTGCTGGGCTGGTGCGAAGGCCACCCACTGCTCCTGTGCGCCGCCTGCCACTGGCGCCCGGTGCTCTTTCAGAAGCCCTACCAAAGTAAAACGCGCGATCTTGGCATGTTCTAGGTAGCTGGTGCTAATAAATTTGTGCGCAATAAATCAACCAAAGTACGAAATCAACTTCGTAAGATAACTCACACATAGATTCATTAAACAAATTGGTATCAGATAAACATCGAAGGACTACAGCAAACGCAGAAAAACAGCAATGGCTCCCCATGCTAACCCAAAAAACACTTTTAATGCAATCCCACTGCATACTGAGAATAGACGAAACCATGGATGACTCGACCAAAGGTTCCTTAAAAGAATCTGCAGGAAACTTCAAAAAAATGAGGCAACTTGACTACATTCTAAGGCTCAAACATGTGGTGAATGAAACGTGGAGTAGGTGAAGATATCCACACAAAGTGATTTTAAAAGCTCCTCAATGTGGTCCAAGCACAAATACACCTCTCCGGACTGTGAAAAGTTTCGCGAATGAAAACGGAAATAGCCAGACCCTTGAAATACTACAAATATGACATGCAGCGGAGGTCTTTCAAAATTTTCGCAAGGCTGCGCAAAAAAGAAATGTTCGTCTAACATTAAGTTGATGCAGATATATATAACCGTAAAATAGAGATATACCTCCAGCGATCCGATGGGGAGGTACTTTCTAATAAGTAAAAAACTTCCATAACCTTTTGTGACGGTGCCCTGCTGGTACAAAACGGAACACTGGAATGCTACATGCAATTTAATGGCCGATTTGAATGAACTTGGGAAGTGATGAGCGACAAAATTTGCGTATGTTGCAATCACATTTTAAGGTTTAGAGAGAAAAGATGAGCGAAGGAGATGCAAGATAGGAGGCATCAGTAGCTGACTTTCGCTACATCGACTCTCCAGCGTATCAAGGGAGATGGAAAGATTTTTGCGAACAGATTTGTTGCAAAGATAACTACTTAAAAGAGGGATTTATCAGGTGCTACATACTACTTAGGGAAAGAATGGGTGCTACAATTTGGTGGACCATTTTCTTTGCTCAAGCATTAAGAAACTGGATGTGTGAAGAACGTCATTTAACAATTGGTGGTGGTTTAACATGTTCCAGCGTCATTGAGATTCTAAAGAAAAACAAGCATCGAAACTAATATGCCCAGTTGAAGGTACAGTTAAGTGAGGCTCTCTGTCCAGTTTACAGAATCGGCAAAATCTGTCAATCTGAACTCTTGGAAAATTGAGGTGAAAACGTCAATTTACTGGCCCATCTCAAGGAATTCTCGAAAGCATTTCATCGAGGGCGCAAAAATGCGATGGATATGGCTTTGGAAGTAAGGCTGCGATCCTATAGGCGTATAAATACCTTCGGTTATTGTTAGAGATTAAGTAGCACAATTTTATGGCCATATGTGCATAACTTCTGTATAGGCTTAACGTATCCATACCGAGAAATTGTGCAACAAGTAGAACTACTATAGGTTGCTCAGACACTACATTACAGAATTGTTTCGCGTGGAAATGGCAGCAATAGCTGGAAAGCTCTAAAGGACTGAAGAACAACCTAATTTTGCAGACTATAAATGTTTACGATGCTCCCGTTTTCCTCCATGCTTTGGTGCTACTGATCTCCAAACACCTTTTCCATGGAGGAAAACTAACCAACACAGCACAGACACCCTCTCCTTATGTAACACCGAATGTCAGTGATTCTTTTGGTCAATTCAGTTGCTGATTAGACTGAAACGCATACCTATTCACAAATCAAAAAAATCCTGCATCTACTTTATAGTTTTAAGTTCAACCATTGCAACACGATTCAAAGCGACCAGTTGCCACAAACTTACAAGGGGCACTGTTAGCTCTTTAAGTAATTCAGTGTAGAAGTCAGAATTAATTCGGCAACGGTCTAGTTTTAACGAGGATGCTGCAAAATAACAGTCTTCTCTTTCCATTCGTTTAATGGAAAGAGGTACTGAATGATTAGTGACTATTAATGATCACATAGAGCATAAAAGCAACAAATAAGCCCTCGGGGTGAGATCTCAAGGCCAAGTTACGGAATCGCAATGAGGAGTACTAAATGTGTATTAACTTAGAGTGACTATTTAAAGTTTTGATGTTTATTTAGTTTATCAGTTAACTTGATTGACCATTTTCAAAATAGGCGAAAAGAATTAGTTAATTAACTTACAGGCGGAGTCATCAAACTGATCTTCAAATCCTTGACCACCTAGGTTGGCGGCTGTGCCTTGGGGGGCGAACCAAGGATCTGCAGGTACGGGTGGTGCCTAAAAGAGAGGAGGGTGAAAGGTGAGATGAAGATAAGGCGCAAAAAGCACTTCTATAGGCACCCAACTTACCGGTGCCTCGGGAAGAGGAGGATCCAGATCATCTATAACGGGTCTTGGAGGCAACGGGTGGGAATCCTGATGTAGTTGACTTCTTTTGAAACCCTGGCAGAAACAAAAATAATAATGGGAATCAGAGATAGTTAATCAAACAGGGTGTGTAAGAGATTATGGGAGAGCAAAGCAAATAAAGCTGAACAGTAGCATAAGTATGCAGCTTGATTGTACTGAGATGTCCCTGAAGTTCGTGAATACAGTATGTGATAAGAGCGCAAGTGGCCTTGTTATACCAAACTGGGTAAAACTATCACTGCGTAGCTGAGGGAGGAAAACAAAATCACCTCTGAAACAAAATAACAAGGTGGACCAAGGTTTACTTGACAATTTAAAACTGTGCATTTAATTCAATCATCGCAAAGCAAGGGGCTGCCCCAGTGTTTACACTAGAATAAATCACACTTTTCAGTCAATTTTTTCACAGGATAAACGCAGTTAGTAAATGCAACCAGAGCTACTGAAAACACCGTTTCAGGATCGAAAGTGGAATAAAGGATGAAAAAGCTTCATTACGTTTTATTAGATCCCAATAATGAAGATGTGAGAAAAAAAACATTAAAGTGGCGCATCCAGTGCTTAAACACAATAAGGGTGGACAGTGTCTATTAGCTCTTACTAATGAGAGCTTATTTATTCAGACCCACAAAAATATTTCTGAAAAAACCATCATCGGAAACGGCGTAAATATCATGCCTTTCAAGGGAAACAGGTGTAATGCAGTACAATTTTAAAAGTTATTCCTAAAAATAAGTGACGAAGAAGTGAGTGCTCACCTTATAGCCAAGTTTGAAGGCTTCGCCAATGCTGGCGATGAAGTCGCGGGAGCAGCCGCCACTACAGTAGAAGACGTAGCAGCGCCGAACCCCACTGCCGCCAACCCCTTCACCGTTAGCCGCCCCTTCCGTTCTGCCTTCTGCCGCATCCTCCACCTTTGCCACGTAGCTCACAAAGTCCATCATGTCCGCTTCGCCCGAGGAGGCGAAGGAAATAGTATTGAGGCGGTGGTGGAAGAGCACCTAGATAACCCACAAATCTGCACTGAACTCGCCTTATTTAAGAAACCTTCACACAGCCTTCCATTAGCTAAGCCTCTTCGTTCCTTGTAATATTCGTCAACAGAAAGTTTCAGACACTATTAACAGGTCAGTCCTTCATTTTACAATTTTGGCCATTGGTCGCGTCGTCCACGCTCCCAACCTCTAGTTTTAATGCTACGCAAAAAATTGAGCTTATTTTAGTTGTATGTGTAATATTGGTCAGATACTTTCAATCTCACATGGATTCGCCGCCACAACGAAGTACAAGTAATTAGTCCTCGAGTACACTTTTCCTTTACGGCAAAACATGCATTATAACATTTTCAGGGGCACTTTCGTATTTTTTTTCGGTTCCGAGACCTAATAATTAAAACATTTGCCACTTCAAATGTATCGTCCGTACTGCTTGCCATATTTTACGTAATTGCGTGCCGTTCGTTATCGATGCTATTACAAGGATGTTTTTCGTCTTCTGTGATTCAACCTTCATGAGGGTGGCACAAAGCTCTCCGCTAATAAGCTCCAGATTCTGCTATAAACTAAAAAACTACCTCCTAAGTCTGTACACGTTATAAAGTCTCTGGTGGACGTGCGATGCGATATAATGACATATTTCACTCCCTGAGAAGACAATGACACCCCTTGTTGATTCCTCAAAGAAGGCTCAAGTACAAGTGAATCGAATATTTACCATGGGGAGAAGGCGAATGTCTGAATTCTCAAAGAATCAATGGAAGAAAAAAATCCACTGTATGCTGAGTAACGAGGTAATACCAAACTGAATGAGTTAAAAGTGTCCACGAGAAGTGATTATAATATTGCGTTCCTAACCTTGAACTACTTGTGAAATCGGAAAGTAAAATGACACATTTACTGCAAAGGCCTTTTCACGCGTGTAAATCAACCACCATGACGAGTCTATACCACATAGATTCCCAACCCTTGCTCACTTTGATGATAGAGCTTCTCAAGTGATTTACAGCGCTTCTGAGGGAAAATCGGGGTGCAAAGCCTCCGAATTTTACCGTGTCATTAATGCTACTTCATTTTTACCAAATCCCATTTGGCCTTCTCCTAGCACAATAGCATTCCACTGTAAAGTCGGTAAATATGGACGCATTCTTTTACACTTACGCCTTCCCCATGAACGACAAAAGCGAAGATGCGACACAAATGGATTATAATTACCCACAGAGTAGAGGAGACAATTGATAAAACAAAAAACTACCTGAGTTTGTTGGTGAACGGGTTGAGGCGAATGCCTTGATGAAAGGTAACGTAACTAATTTCACAAATATTTGGCGAGAATCGTAAATAAGATGGGAAAGTTTAAGTTCAACGACGACCAAATACCACCCGATAGAGCGAATGAAAAATAATAATAACTAGACACATTCAGATAATGAGTACCGAGCATTTTTAATGAAGGATGATATCGTATCCGAATAAAAAGAAAATATTGAAGTTAAAGACACTTAAACAACCGAGATTTTAAATATATTGAAGTGACTGTAGTCACAGATTTTAATAATTTTTAGCAGGGCTAAAACTACATTGAGAATTCACACAGTTAAACTAGTATATACGGCGTAGAAAGCAGCAGATTTTCAAAAGGAACATCTTATTCCGACGTTATCGAAATTCCTCACAGTAAATTTCACGTCCCTGAGGTATGCTAATAAAAGTTCGCATTTAAATTAATTCGTGTTTTCTTGAGTGGGAATTTCCTGGAGTAGGGTGTTATAACTATTAGGTACTTGATTAGTTACCTCAACTTTCGCACTTTTACTCGAACCAAATTCATCCGCTCTGTGAACTACAGCAAAAAAACTATGCTCGTCATGATAGTGTCCCCGAAACCAATTCCCAGATTCACCGGGAGAGATAACCAACTGAGCCTCTTGCACCGGATCTAAAAATCAGGCACCTTATGCAAGCCTAATACCAACTGAGAAGCCCACTCAAAGTTTGAGGCAAAATATACGAAAATTTACGCCTAGATAAATGGGTTTCCCTTGAAAATTAGATAGCTAAGGCGCGTTTTCCATAATTGAAGTTGAAGTTACATCGCATTAGTGGATTTTAACACCTACCTTTTAGGTATAAATGCGTGTTCTATCCATGGATGAACAGAAGTAAGCCCAATCATAGAATAGATGACTGATTGAATTACTCCATAATAAAAACACTTCCAACCTTGTTTTCAAAAATTATCCGAATTGATTTGATCTCAAAAATGACTAATTTCAAAAAAATTGGAATTATTCAGGTGTTAAACAAGTTGTTCAGAGCCTTTAGTGTCGTCGCTCGATGACGGTGATACGCCAGATTACAAGTTCTCGCACGTGTCGACTTTTTATTCATAGAAACAAACAACGAAATAAAAATGACACGAAATCACCCCCTGGGTAAGATGCTTATCACCATTTGTGGTGAAGCGAATTGGGCGTTACCAAATGTTTACTTCAAGTTCGGTGCCAAATGAATTTTTGTGCCAAAATTCACACTCATCCAATGTTTGACAGTTCCGTAAGTGTTTCAGCATGATTTATTTTTTAACGCTTCCCTCATTTCCGGGGTCAGGTCAAACTCCCAAAAAAACTTTCGGTTTTGGCAAGAAATAGTCAGCATGGAAACTTATTGAAATTTATTACTTTACATAAGGTGTACTAACTTTCGTAAGTGAATTACTAACGGATTAACAACTTAGGGAAAAGGTATTTAAATACTAGATGCCCCATAGGTCCAGTTGTTTATGATGCTAAATAATAACTCATATTAAGCATTCATTTGTTTTGAACAGCCTACAAAAAAATTGCGGGGTGATTGCGTGCATTCGACTTTGCATCAGTTATGCTTTCGGATGTGCACACACTACCTCGACTAGTGAAGGCATAAATGAATTGAAAAACGACTTTCAGCGTTAACAACGCCCAGCATATGTCACAAAAATAAACCCTGCCTCGCAGATGAAATAAAAAACCACCTCATCCGATTACTTCGTGTCCTTTACTGAGATATCGGTAATACTTCTACCAATGTGGATACCAGAGACGCAGTTATACTCTCACAATGCCAATGAAACGTAGTCAGCAGTGGCATGGGTATTCACTATCGTAAACAACTGAGTCCTTTAAACATTTAGCGGAGAATGTTGTGTTGGAATATTAAACCATTTATTTCGAAGAGATAAATACTATTAGTGAAATTTGACGAGACAATATGGTAGGTTTGGTCAGTGAACAAGCATTATAAAATACAGCTTTAGACAGGCTAATAATAAACACCAAAATTCATCATTTAAGAAGATTTTATGATGCTTGCGCTGAAAATCTCAATTCCGAGGAAGTAACAGCAATGACCCTATTTCAATGCCTATTCTACTGCATCAGGTATAATGGATATTTCAGTCTGCTAGAGCAGACAATCGAATCGACACATCTATTATTAGCTTGTTTCTCTCAAAGAACGGGTGCTTTCAACCATTCCGACAAATATTTCGCCTTCGCAGTATCTATTAAGTCGGTAGATTATGAAGGGTACGAAAGAGCAAAAGTCAATACTAGACAAATAACTTACAAGATAATTAAGTTACAAAAAGCACTACTAAAATAAAAGACTAAATACCTGGTCAGAATGAAAGTCCTGGACGGTGACACCTTCAACAGAGATGGAGAGCCGCACACTTTGACGAGTCCATGTGAGGTCGGTGCCTTTACCAATAAATTTAGAAAGACCGTTTGTTGAAGGGGGTCTGACCGGGGGTACTCTTAATCCAACGTCTTCACAAACCCGAATGATGCACTCTCTGAATTAAAGAAAATACAGGAGGTTGAGTCCTACTAAAATGTATGAGAAACTCAAGAAATGTGCCTAAAGGGATGGATTTACTAGAGAAGATTGAACTAACCTAGTGATCTGCGTTCGCTCCTGGAAGTTGAGTGACTTGATTGAGATGGTTATAGGAATGCAACCGATGTACTGAATTGGGTAGGTTGCTAAGATCGAAGAGTCATTCATATTGAATATTGATTCCTAATTGAATACCCAAAACCAATCACATACGCAGAAATCGGAGGAACCGCGACTATCCAATGCAAACGACTAGCATGTAACTGGTGCAAAATAAGGTACCAATACGGGCAATGCGTCTGCGAAAAATATACATAAAGGAAGAAATGGGAAATTTGTGATTTACGTAGTTGCAATATGAAACCTAAGTCGGTAAGGATGTGTACCATCAAAAACAAGTGAATTGACAATATTAGAGTTTACCAAGGCAATTAAGATTCTACACATAAGGTAGACTGGAAAATATTATTCTAAAGAACCAAAATATTCACAACCAAAACTGCTACATAAAAGCAGCAAATAGAGGAACTTTGATCTGAAAGTTTCCGAAAAGCAGGATATAACTCAAAGGGATTGTAGCATTTGCACAGCTGCCCATAGTTTAAAAGCACGCAAATACACACAGCACACTTTGCTTACAGTCTAGGAGGACTAGCACACAAAAAGCCAACTCTAGCCTTCTATTGGTTATCATCAGCTTTTGTAAAGTCGCGACATTTGTAATATATAAAAACATTTAGTTACCCAGGCCGCCTAGAATAGCTCAAAGATAAGTAAACACAGCTTTAGCCTGTTAAAAGTGAAATACCTTGCGGAAAATCCTTCAAAGTCTGCCAGAGTTAATAAGTGTAGAAGGAGTTTTTGATGTATGTCATTTAGTTTGATATAAAAGTAAGTCAAAGACTTTCGACCACCTCTTTTCTAGTCTGCTAATTCGTATTAGGCCTCTAAATACTTATGACGGAGCCTTTAGTTGAGAAGCTGGTGGCTTATTAGCCTGTTATTAAATTCCAAACTGATCTAAAATTGATAGTAAAATTTCCAGCCCCAAAAAGTAGGTAGGCCATTGCCTATCACGTGGTTCTGCCACTGGTACATCAAAAGGTCTCCTTTTATGCTGATCTTGTTTTGTTTTGCATTTTTTTTACTTCCCATGGAGGCTTATAGCACGCGCATCGTGCCCAAAGCTATACACAATGAAGTCTAGACAGTCTCTGCCCGGTGCACGTTTGTTCGTCTTATGCTGTTGCACTTTTCTACTCTTTCATTCTGTAGCGTCTTAAGCGGCTAGATCATTCGTGAGCCTTGTGTCTTCCCTGAAGTCTTAACAGGCCATACTAGCAAGGGGATTCCTTATTTTAACATGCAGAAAGGCTGTGAGTCTTTAGGCAGGGCCGGTGGATCATACCCCTTAGCGGAAATGTAACCTCCAGAGTCTTAAAAGTTTGCGTAGTTAAACATTTAATTAGATGAAGGCGAATTTTACTGCATTAAGTGATTTTTCTCCCACTCACTTTCACTTTTTCTCTTTAACTTGTTCTGCTAATAAAATTTACCATTCCTTTAATAAAATACGACCCAAAATATACCTATTAGGAAATCTTTTGTCATTCAAAATCCTAGTTAAACATCCTCTCCGTTACATGTAAAATGCTCACTGTTTTAGCTACATGTTAAACATGTTCTTATTGAATTGGGATTCAGATACATCAGATATTTTGGCAAGTGACCAACATTTAAGCATATACTTGAGATTGTGTTGTCATGTCAAATCTCTCCATTAGTCTTTGGGAAGTCTGCTGAGGATCACAGGATTTCACTTGGCCTTTGTTCATTTTCATCCATAAAATCCTGTTGTGAAGGTGTTTAGAAAGACAATACTGAGCTTATACACGCTTTACTCATGCACTGATAATATCCCAGGCCTCACGGCTTCTCCGCAAATAAATGTAGATGGGAAACCTCAGCTGTGCTTCATTTCTGCGCATTATACTTGCACCATTCTTACAGGTGCACTGATACCAATTTTGCTTTTACGAACAGCAATAATAATGCTTAATTACAAAATCTTTATAAACAAGCTTCCTTTATTTAGGGGTATAATCGGTATTTTTTTAATCTGGATTCTGCCTCAGTTTGGCAAGGTAACTGCTTATTAAAGAAAAGCCATAGATGAATACCGCAACAAAGTATTGCAGCATAGCGATGGATTGAGTGAAACAGTCCATGAGTGAAAGCGCAAAAGCAATATTCTTCGTGACAACTCGAACATTGAGGGAGACACCCAAAAATAGATTCGTCACATCACTGACCATGCCAATGACCATGTGAATATACCCATTCACTTGGACTATAACACAGGCTGTGCTTTTCATTCCCGCCATAAAGGCATAAATGGGAGCAGTGAGTTGGGTCGATGAGACTAGACTCTCCAGTCGGGATAAAATAATGGGTAATTTCCTTCCTGGGATGCAATGCTTTTCCTCCTTGGGACTACTAATGAATTGGTTATGTGCAATTGTGGACAGCTGGATCCAGGCTTTTAGAAAGGGTAGAAGAAACATCTTCTGTCCCATCGTTTTCATGCTAAATTTGACAAAAAAGAAAAGGGAATAGAAAAGGAGTATAATGCTCTTAATAGACCTTTTCCACAGTGACACGTGGACTACATCTTGGGATGGCTGACGCGTGGCAGCCGTGTGGAAGGAACTTGTTTCATCACTTCCTCCACAGAATTGATAATAAACTGCCTCCTCGGTCATGCTTGGGAACGTGGGTTTCCTATTGATTGGTCAGGAGGGAGATTTGAATTGTTGGGCTGTTCATATTGTCGCTCAGGGCTTGTGATGTCGATGTGGGTCATTCGGATCTCAATGTTGTTGCGTAACACTTCACACAGATTTGCATTCGCATACTCATCACGGGCAATGTGCATAAGCAGTAATGTTGTGATGATGAGGCGAGTTAATAGCTTGTTGGCCTCTGTGTGGAGTCGCCAATTGCCGTTACTAGTGGGGTGTACTCACCGCTCCTTATGCGCTATACTTTTGCCTTTGGATTATTCACTCGATTCCATGAAAGTGCTTTGAGAACTTTCACACCAATTGAGCATAGGAGAAAATAATATCCTATAGAAATTCTTTTTATGAATGCGATACCTTCTGAGAGGGTCTGAGTCATTGCCATAACATTTGACGCAACTGCTCTTTTGTGACAAGGAAAGCGACTGCCGTAGAGACTCGGTCAAGTGGGATTATTTTACTCACCTGGCTTACGGGATAGAAAAATTTGCACCCAAAAGAGCTTACTTGTGGCATTTGCTCTTTCTCAGTATGTGGTAATAGCTAGCAGCCACGATTCCTATCGTGAGTAGAGTGTCTAGGTATTAAGTAGGCTTTATACCGGGGCAGAATATGTATTGTCGACGTACGGGAGGTCTGAAGGGGGCTAACGTCACGGCCTGGAGCCCATGCCACCAGAGCAAGTACAAAGGCGGAACCCTAAGTGGTCCCCTACCAAAATCGATGGTTAAACCAAGGGGTAACTTGTTGGAACTGCATCCTTTTAAAACAAAAGTGGTGATAATAGGTGTCTTGTCAAAGCATTGAGGCATCTTTGCTGTAGTAAAGCGGTTTCCTCCGAGGTCACGATAGCGAAGGCGTCACCGCTGCTGAGAATGTGTGTATAGTGTGTTTCCAATGAGTTGAAATGTTTTTTTCTCAGTATCTAACTGTAAATGTATTTGCGGTAGACAAAGTAAATCCAAAATTTGCAAATCGTCACAAATTATACAGCTTTTGACCTTAAAGGTGTTATGGTAGGCCTCCTACAGACCCGAATACCACCGACAGTTGTGATGCAAGGGCTTCACCAATCTCGCTCTCGTTACCTAATCGAATTTACTTTTTTCCACATTAGTCGATGGCAATCTATGGCTTCATTAAATGCAACACCAGTTGTGGGCTCGCCAATTTGCCGCTGCCTTGCTGTTTGCCTGACTAGCGTAGCTAATTGCAAATAGCGGTTCTACCAAAGGCGTTGTGACCATCCTCTTTTCCATCCCCTTCACTCGCCCTCTGCATTTGGTCATGAAATGAACGCATCACGAAGGGCTTTTCCAAAAAGCGACTTTGTCTAACTTGATGAAGAAATCCTTTCAATTTTTGTATATTTTTGTTCAATTTTTCCCTTCTTTCACTACTTTACCGGCATTGTTTTAACCACTGTTGCCTCCATTGCCGAGAGGCACCCGTACCGATGTCATTGCTCCTGTGGTCGAGCCAAAGAACGACCTCAGCTTCTTGTTTAATGCTGCTACTATTGCTTCTTCAGCAAGAATTGCTGCTCATCCGAGTTTGGGCGTTCCTCTGGCTTGTAACCTCTGCCTAACTAAAAAGGCGATAAATAGACCGCACCACTTGAAAGGTTTGTTACCCTCTTTGTGCGTCCGAGCTAGTAAGGTTTAATCCTACAATCTTACAGGCACTTGTATTCAGGTACGTGGGGACATCGACTAAGCATTTTAGGCATGTTTCGCCCCTTTCTTATGCAAATGCGAAGTCTAAATTGCTCAGCGATCTAATCACCGCCATTGATTGAATAAGACGAATGTACGTAGGCATCGTGTTTAAAAATAACTACCTTTTGAAGGAACCTCAAATGTCAGTAATCTTCAAAACGCCATCAACAAAATATGGGCACATTAAGTTCACCCTATCTAAAGTAGTGGCCAGCGTGATGTCATTACCAAATAGTAAACAAAAAGTACTTCATGCTGAGTTTTCATTTGTTCAGCATTAATCGCTCTAGTAGTGGAAAGGTGGGCTCAAAGTAGGCATTAAAAGGAAACTCGCACTCTCCAAAGGTCATGGGGCAAACAGAGTTTCGGATTCATATATTCTACAAGCAGGCCTTATTCTGCTATCGTTTGTTTCTCACACTGGAATTAACACTTATGAATAAATTGCCGGCTCCGAGTTGTTTTCACTAACCATCAAATAGTAAAATACACATAAATTTCCCATTGAATTCAGTTTTCAGAATGCCTAACACATTTGACACTATAAAAGATATTTCTTTACAAAAGGGTTCGAATTTAAAATAGCTTTGAGCATCTTTCTACAAGGATAAGGTTCTTGCATTGTGCTGAGGCTTGTAGAAATAAATTAACTTCACTTCTGGTCTGTCAAAATCATGCATCGGCGACGGTTTGATTGGCTCATGACAACAAAACTGACAGATCTCGAGCTTGATATTTGTGGGAGTAAGGTGTGTTGGGAGCGACCTCGAAACTCTTAATGCCATCCTTTTACGTGTATGGACTCTTTGTAACATTGCCATGCAATTGTTGTCGTGACTGGGATTTTAACCACCTTACCTATCCTAACACCGAAGGATAACTAAGAATTAATCCACCACGAAAGTTAGGCTTCGTCTGATGAAAAGAACGATCAAGGATCTGGGTGATTATCTTTTAATTGCCTAAATTACCTAGAATGGTAAATGGCAAAGTCAGAGTTTGTCTTGACTGATTTGTTAGAGACTGAAGTCATGAAGGCATTAACAAATGGGTAAAAAGCGTGTGGAGGTCGGATTGTAGTAGGATGGGGCAATTCAAAACGGTGGTACCCAAAACTACCCTCGGCATATCCCGCCACGCCCGATTTTGTGATGCAGATGGCTACAACCTTTCAACCTTTTGACTTAATTTAATGATGCACATTTCAGGCTCCATCGTCATGTTTACTTCCAGGTTGCCCAACCCCAACGCAAGAGATTCACCAGACTCGTCTTTGTTCGTCTACGCAGAAATACCACTTCCGTGTTCTCATTCATCTCCACCTTCCAAGTATTTTAATTTAAGTAGTAAAAATAAGGCCTAGCTATCAGCTTCACTCCGTTGTTGTCTGTATGATCAGATTGACGAAATTACGATCGTGAACCTTGAGGCTCCAGACCCATCGTGTCCCCTCCCTTCTAATATTCATCAAGGCAATTCTGCCATCACGCGGCCTTGAATTTCATGCACAATAATCCTTCTACAAGCCCAGTTTGGTTATTAGTAAGAGTCCTTAACATCTACCCAAACACATTTGAGATTATTTTTCTACCTCAAATTAATTTGGCCAATCTCATCACAGCGAGACTTCCATAATAGGCGCTAAAATTGTTTGCAGGTCTTGTTTTGTGACTACAAAGCATTGCCCTTAGCAAAGAAACAGATGGTGCCTTCATAGCCCCTGATACTTCTTTTCACTGCAACATTATGCCAAAAAGTAGTGAGAATCGTCAATTTAATTTTCTTGTGTGCAAGAGGGTAATTTCTCCATTTTCGCCTATGTGATCTAGGCAATAAAAAGCGGGCTTTATTGTCGAGACTTAAGTCATTCCTTCAGTAACCTTGTGTTTTACAGAACAAAGGGCATACAATGACGCAGTCCTCAATGGTGATTTTAGCAATGGCCTCGATTCCAACAAGAACGCTTACCCCGTGACCCTTCAGCAAAAGCTAAGGTGCGATGGCTCAAGTTTTGAAATGAGTACGCTCTCAATGGTAAAAATAAATGAGGGCTTTTTCCCATTTAGACGGACCTGTCAAATTAGAGTACATTATTTTAGGGCAGAAATTTAGAGTCCTTTTACCTCTGAATTAAAAGGTCGGCAATTTGGCGGCACAGTTGGTTCACATGTCATTCAGCCGCAGGGAAATGCTAATGGTACAGGTCCAAAAGTTATCTCGATGCTGAGTGCGCCCATCATTGATGTAAATTGTAATCAGGTGACTCGTCAAGTGAGAATTTGCTTACCCGATTGCAAGGGAGGTGGTAAAGAGGTCTACTTCTCAAGCGAACTTCCCCCCTCCCCCCACCGAATACCTTAAAACAAGTGGGCACCTCAGGGTGACTCAGAAATACTATCTCTCTTCTCCCTTTTCTGTCGTTGCGGCGGTGTTTCGGTATCTCCCATCATCCACCGTTAATTAAAGCAGCTCAATTGGTTTTGCTCTATTATCCACCCCGGTGATTTAATTAATGACAATGTGAATTTGGCAGACACTTCTTGCCTCGCACGGATCGATCATGCAGCACAATGGCGGCCTCCCTGTCCCCCGAATGATCCACTCACTTCAATCACGCATTTTGCTCTTGACAAGTAATCTTCCCTCTTAATTCTTTTTCTCAATCTCTCCGAGTGTGGGATTAACAAACGTCGGAAATCAAATCCACTGAACTCAGAGGCGTCACATTATCCTCCCCTCACCCCTCTCCCTCGGCACACTGATTCTTTCCTTAGGTCCGAGTTAAAGGATTAGTTACCGCCTCAAAACAAGCTCATTCGAGTGGTTTTAATCTGGAATTTATTACAAATCAAGGGAACCTAATTTGCATCATTCAACTCGAGCCATGGGAACGAGGAGGCAAAATTAAAAGTGATTACCTGAGAACTCCCTGCCTGCTCTTCTAATCGTGCTGCTTTCTGTGAAATATTCTCCTGCCTAATAACTTTGCAGGAAGCTTAAAAATCAGGCACACCTCAAGTAGACCAAAGTTTATGATGGAATAATTAAATTATTTACAGTAAAAGCTAGTAAATTTCTTTTTGTCTTTTTTAATACTGCATCATGACGGTGGAGAAGATTCGTTATGTTGTAAAAGGAGGCTTTCACTGAACATATAAGTCCCAGTAGTAACTACTGGAAGATAATTTGACTCTGTGATAAATCGAGCTAAAAAGGAAATTGTGTTGTAAATTTGCGGGTAGGCAGGCCAGCTTAGCGGCGTCCGTGGGATGGATTCGCATGTTACACTTCTTGCCAGCTACCATTGTGACGGTAGCAGAAGAAGTGGTGGCGATCTGAAATTTCCCAATGCTCCACCACTTGGCTTGATATTAATGAGAGATAAACATCTGGAAGGAAAATCATGATTCTGCCTGGTGAGCGAGTCACTGGCAATTGCACGCGCCAGAGAGAAGCAGCGCTGCCCATTCACTTGCCTATGGGGGCCCTCAAACGGTCATGTCATCTGTGTCAAGTCAATGCAGTGGAGCATTCATTCGCCCACGAGTAAGAGACAGCTTTGAACTAATTCCGCATAGGACTTGTAGCTCCATGCAAGTCACTATCACAAAAAATTTAAACGCAATTCATTGAGAAAAAACTCTGACAAGTAGAGCCAATCTCACGCAAAAGGTGATGAATAAAATTGACTAATTAGGACTTTTTAGTGACAACTTTTTTTAACTGACTACCTGGTTTGAATTCTATAATTACGCAGTAGCTTGCCAATAATTAGTGCAACCACCTTAAGTTTGGCATTCGCTTCAGTCAAGTGTCATGGGGCTTGGTTCAACGAGATGAGTTGGCTATTGAGTCAGTCCACCCTATCAAAGCTCTGAAGGTGGTTCATTAAAAGCCTCTGAGTTATTGCCTGTAGTGAAGTTTTAGTCACGTCTATCCCTTTTTATTCTTTGTTGGCAGAGATGATTAACTGAAATCCGGGCACTTCATTAAACGAAGAGACGTAGAATGTTTCGGAATTGAGGTATTCTAAAGAACTGTAGTAGAAACAGCCCCTTATCAAAATGCGTCATTTTTGTAATCGGTTTAATTTTTTATTTTCGGCAAAGCTGTAAGTTCCACAGCGTGACTGAGTCTAGTGCCAAGAGGCGTACTTTTTCTACCTCTACCTAATTAGTTTTAAATTACAACAACGAAAGAATCGCTCGTGGTAGCAAGATACGAATGTCACAGTCATCATAGGGCGTGTCAAGTCGAAACTTTGCCTGTGTGGTGATGCCAACGGCAGTACCCTACTCTTCCTACCACCTTTAGTGGAGAGAAGACGCCCCGAAACCATCTCCTATCTGTATGCGTAGCGATTTTTACACTAAAAAGTGATGCCAGATGAGTAGGATCTGTGGCTCCTCTTTCGCGCAAGACGCAGTGGGGATTCGAACTACCACGCATTTTCACCTGCGCTGAATGAATTGTGGGTTGGGGTTGACATAAATGCGGCAGGTTTATTTCTCTTTGCGCTCCAGAGTGAGAGGACCCCTAACCATGAAAAATTCTGGTAGATTCTCTAACTTTGGTGCTTTCACAGCGAGTCAAGTAGTCGACTGGTTATTACAAGTGGTGCATATGGGGCAGAAAAACGCAGCAACATTGAGCTCTCCAGCCTAAATGAAGTTGCATCAAACAATTAACGCAATCTTTACTCCGATCTTTATGACGTCTCCAAATGAAAACCTATACTGGGAGAAAAAATAGCTAAATTTTCGCATGATCTAAGGTAACTGACGATTTTCACATCTGAGTAAGGGTAGTGAAGGCACATGTGCGTCGTCTTCACCTCTCCGCTCCACTCGAGGCAATAAAGAGGAGGGTTTACGATCGGTTGAGTAATCGAGTAAGAACTGGACCCTAGCCTAATTTTATTGTAAAATGCGGAAATACATGGCTGCTCAAACTGATTCCCTCCGCAATGCTCTCACGGAGACAAGTCCGCATAGCTCTGAGTCATTAAAAAGTGCCAAATTAGGTGCTGTTTCGTGATTATGTGAGTGCCTACCTAATAATTCACTGCCAATGTGGAGGGGCTACTTAGGGCTTAATTTATCTCTTGTGTTAAGATTGTTGAAAACTCGGTGCGTTTTTCATTCTAAATATCGGTTCCTTGCTCGTTATTGTTAAATCGAAAGTAAAAGAATCCTCACTAGGTGGAATGTAACAGCAAAAATTGCTAAGAAACCGAGCTGGGGAGTTCGTTTTTGTTTTTCAGGCAGCGTTTTGAGAGTTTTTTCCTCAAAAAGCGATTAAGCTACCCTCATTACAGGAAATGAAACAAAAGCAGGAATATATGACCTGCCTGTGTGCGAACTTTCATCGAGAGAGATGAAAGTGTATAATGAGAGCTATTAAAAGTAATCATCATGTTGTTGCTTCCTACTTGACCTTCACAAGAGCAGATTGCCATAGCCCTATTCGTCTACTGCGTATGTGATTTCGATTCACCGTAGACACACACCAGGCCTTCTTCATGTGAAGTGAAATTTGAGGAAGGACTGGGTTATCGTACAGGATGCCACCAGTTGCCAGACAGAAGACTGGTATAAGCCGCATGGGCGTTTTTTTGTGCTCAACTCCAGTTATGTGATTTTAGCGAGGGAATTTGGTAAACTGGATTAAGGTATCAACTTTGCTTGTCCCAGAACAAACGGAAGTGCAATTACTCAAGGATATGCCCTCTCAACTCCTATTATTTGATACATGTCATTAAGTCCATCTAAGGTATTTTAATCTGACTATTCTAACAAAAATTTATAAAAAATCGCAATGGGCAAAGATCGAGATTTTAGCTGGGTTGAATGGATGAGGAAGTGGACGTACTTAGTCGATTGAAAGTTGATACCCAAGAGTAACCCACCCAAAAAGACTGCAAGGGGAACGAGCAGCCAGCCTCATCGACCCCTTTCTTTCGGCAACAATAGCACCATAATCACCGCTTCTACCATCAACAGCATCGTCTTGAGAAGCAGCAAAGAGTGATGTGTGCCTGCACGTACGCACGCACATGGGAGAACTCGAGTGTGAGATTTGTGTGCCAGTGCTGACCAATCAGGTGCAAGCGTGGTGAGAGCCATCGAGCGCCATTTAAAACCCTCTCTCAGAGCCCCGTGACACAGTTCGACTCCGCAGACAGCCCTTACGAGCATGGTTGCTGGAGCTTGTAAGTTCCTATGCCCCACACATACAATAAAAGCGCCTTGGTTCATTCCAAATTTCAGAGTGATTTCATTGTTGTTAATTACCACCTTCCATGATTATGCTCACTAGTCATTTTCATTTTTTGTATCTTTATATGCCCGGACTGTGCCATGAATAATAAATTTGTGATAAACTTACCAAATGACTATGTGGTACATGATAAGCACACTTGAGTATCAGATGTGAGGTGTAATATCACTAATACGGATGATAAACCCCGTATACTTTAAAGAGCGTCTTGCTTCCATAAATACGCATGCAGTTCAACGTTGAGCTGACGGTTTTACTTACTTTATGTAGATACGAAGGGCAACGGATCACGGTCTAAGCCTGTCTACTTAAAATATGGTGAGTTATAGCATTGCATATTTCACCCAGGTTTATGGAGGCTTTCTGCCCCGTTCAGTAAATTTGTGAGATTATGAACAGAAAACTAGGTTCATTTAAACAGCATTTAAGTAGCTTACTAAGAACCTGACTTAGCTGACTTACTAACAGAGGACCGAGTTGATTTTTATTGCTCGGAGAGATTTTAACGCCTTGATGTAGGAGCATCTCCTTGGAAATAATATAGAGCTAGAGGTAACGTAGTAGTTCGACCTCCTCAGCCAAGCCACAGCGGAAAATGCATAACATTTCAAACTCACAACCATTTATTGCGTAATTCAAATCTTTTTATTGCAGCACCTTCGCATGGTAAGCTAACCCTTAGCTAGTACTTTTTATCCAATAAGTAAGAAAATTTGTGTCAGTGAAGTGAATAATTAAAAATGTTTATTTTATCCACAACCTTGATTGCATCCTCTCAAATTCATCCTACTTTTCTTCACCTCCCAGCCGAACGACCTCGTACACGAGATTACCGAGAAAAGGGAAAGGGTAAATAGAACCTCTAAGGGCTTTTAGTTTTTGTAAGAAAACGCTTTTCCAAAAAAAATTAGGCACATAACTCTTTGTTTTACTAGGTTGGCAGCGTAGCAAATCCAGCATGTATGACAATAGCTCCGATCTCTACTGTAAGTCCCGAAACGAAACCGACATACCTTATCTGAGCAGAATTGGTTTTAAAAAGCAAGTTTTTAAGAACTACCGGTTTTAATTAAAAAAGGGGGAATTCTGGCATTCCTACTTCGTTTGAGGTCACCATGAAACACAGCTCAATTTGTTGTGTAATTCTACAGTCAGAACGCGTTCTTTGGTTACTCCACCCAAATAACTAGCCACTGGATAAAAAATGAACTTGGCGGAATGTAAAAATGGCTTTAATCCTTTCAGTTTGTGAAAAACGAATGTCGCATGATCGCTACCGACGAGGTAAGGATTTGTCTGCACGTTACCTTCTAGAATTTGGGCATCTTGCCTCCTTCAAGTCAGAAATAATTTAGGCCTCATCCAATTCTTGGCCATAAATAGCCTTTGAGGCTCAAGCTAATTAAGAATGTTGATGTTGACCGAGTCAATGCAGTCCAGAAGGGGGCAGTTGTACCCCTAGGTGATCAAATCTAACTTTTATGGTTGAAAGTGAAGTTTCGTTTAATTAGGGCACGTGAGGAAGGCTAGAGACCATACCGTAGGGTGTTTTTAAACAATTTACTATTATTTTATCTGGTTACCCTATCCCAAGGGTGATAGGTGTGCCTTCTCATTCATTTGGAGGTAGACGAACTGTGCAACGATACTTGAGTTCACGAATTAATTTGCTTTCGAGAGAGATTGCTGAATTCAAAAATCCCACTTCTTCTTTTACAGCCCAATCGTCGATGAGCGACAGGAGGACGGGTAAAAACAGCAGTTCTTACGAAATTGGTGAGTGCTTGGGGACCGAAATTTCTCCCACGCCTAATGCAAAACATAATAAGGAAATTTAAATAATAATACATAAATTTTTTTTCGTTTAGACTGTCCAGCTAAAAGTGAGTCACAATTACCTTGTCATTGTAACCAAGAGACCACGAAATATTAAAACTATTACGCCTCAATTACGTAGCTTACCTATGAGGTGTGGATGCCCCGGTGTAATTCAATTTAAAGCTCTCGAGGTGATGGTGTTGGTGGTGATGCAACTGTGCATTGGGAACGGAATAAACCACCACTTGAGTGGGGCCACTAGGTGCACTGCGAGAGACACGTATTGCGTTGTGCTGGCAGAGGCAGTGGAATGAGTGTGAGGCATCCTCGGGTAGTCGGAGAGAGAGAGGCTAGACTCCGCAATTACCCAGTTGTGTAACAACGGCATATTTTGAATTCCAGACTTTAAAGTGCGAGATGAAATGCAAGGTACTTGTCATCCTTCAAAAAGCCGTCCATTGAAACCATCGGGTCAAACATGAATACTCGCAAGCAGCATTGGTCACGAGAAAAAATATATTTTCTCATCTTTGGATGTCCCTCATACATGTCTCATCTGAGACATCTTGGTGTGCTCATGGTGTATACCTCTCTTGTCATTCTTCAGTTCCAAGCACTCGCATTATCTACGTAGGGGCAATTACTACGCAAAGGTTCTTGCATGTTTTTTGTAGAACCAAGACGAAGGCGCGCCTCCGTAGAAGCCATCGTTCAGAGTGCGAAACCCGAGTCGAGTAAGCGGGGCTCATGCCTTGTGTTAACTTGGCTGAGACGTTTCAACTGCTCACATTTGCCTCATTTTTTCTCTAAATTCTAGCGGCTATCGGCCAGTCCACCGCTCCTATTGGCTTGCCGATTCAAAAGCGTGTGCAAACTTACAAAGAAGGTGGTGGTAAGTGACATCAAAATGTTTGTAACTAGTTATTTATTCATCGACTTATAAGGTCTGAAAAGGGATTTTCGTTAATTTTATCAGTATTGACAGAAATCTTCCTTCTTCATTACAGTTGACAGAGATTGTGTTGCACCGAACAAACCTATCTATGGCTGGACACATACTTGTAGGTGACACGCAATTCATGTGATTTTCGACCTTGTCTACTTCTTCTTCCTCTTCTTAGTCATCTGATTTTTAGTGTTAATCTGCCTCCCTTTATTTGCTTCCTTTAGCTAACTACAAGAGTTCGGAGAAGGGCCAAATCATTGAACGGGAGGGTCCAAAAGCTCGTAAGTAAAACAGTAGCAGCAGCTCTAAAAGTTTAATTCTTGCCAATGCGGAAATCAGTAACACTATTTAACCACTTTTAGGTGCCTACACGCCTAGGTATGAGACTTCCGGCGGGGACGTCCGCGCTTTCCCCTGTACGTCTCCTTATTGCTATTACCTTATGACCAAGTAGGTGGAATGGGATCGTGTCGTTAAGTGCCTCGTTTCTTCTATTAGACGCCGAGTCCGAGCGGAACGTGAAGACTCATGAGTGCAAACAGCGCTGCATGGAAATGCTGGTTTCCACAGGTACAACACTAGACTACCTTATATAATGCCATCTATGGAAGGAAATTTTGTAATTTGGTCTTAACAGATTTTCTTCATTGTTTCTTTCAATAGAATCCTTCAGGGGGCGCCCAGGAGCGGTACGTCCAAACAAATGCCTGACTAGATTTGCCTCATTTTTTTCCTTCTGAAAACCCTTTTAACCTCTCTTTCAGGCTGAGAGTGATGAGACTGGTATGTTCGCACACTATTCCGCTGTTTACTCCTTTAACAGAATTGGCATTCACCCGCGGATGTGATAAAGATAGTGGCAGTATAATGGCGGACCAAAAAATTCTAGAAAATTGACATCAACCTTCGGTCTATGTAGTTGTTTTGTCTATTTAGCTGACTATACAACTGATGAGGCTGAACCCTACCCGGTTTACAGTACTTTCCGCCCGGAGGTGAATTCCGATATGGACAAGTATCTCAATGAGATGCGCATTGAGCTGAAAAGCGCGGAAGTGCCAGAAAACCGTGTTATGGAAGGTCGCGTCTTCTTCGATCTGAAGGAGCCCGCCACTGTCGAGAGCATTGGAATCGACATCAACAAAACTCTTGCCATGACCAGTCCCGATGGCAAAGTTGTTATTGTGAGAGCAATGAATTTGCAAGTATTTTAGACCTAATAAGTATTATTGAGTAAAGTTTAACTCGTTTTAGTTTGATGGGTATTTTGAACCCAATCGTACCGAACTCACCTAGACATACTACTTACAAGAAAAAAGTAACCAATGATTAGGGTCAAGGTGGGCCGAAGGGAAACTCAATTTTCTGCTTTCCTTGCAGCCTTCCCGTGATAATAGGAGCTTTGCACCCGAGTTGAAACTCCTTCCCAATCGTCAGCTGCCACTGGTTTTGCCTGATACAGGGTCGCAACCGACGGACCCTTCAGCCGCACGTCGCTTGCCAAACGATTTCGCCCTGATTGAGACCATCGCCAAGAAGGCACCACTCCAAGCCGGCCGCAGCGCTATTCCCTTTAAAATCTACGTGCCTGAGAATCAAGTACCCACATTTACCTACACCTCTCTTAAAGGTCCCAGTGTAATCAGCAAGTGGGTGCCGTTTCGTCAGTGAAGTGATTGGTTTAGCGGGTGGTGTAAGACGTCTTTTTCCCCCTATTTTAGCTATTCCGCGGAGGCTGTAGTCCGAATGGGTGGACGGACCGAGAGGACTGGCCGTGTGCCTGTAAAAGTTCCTGCTCTGGGTGAGAAAAATGTGGGCTACAGGGACGAAAACAAGAACTATGAAATCTTGGTAAGCACCAATTTGGATTTTTAAGCCCAGTCGCGACAAAGAGCATCTCCGACGGCTCTGTTTTGCAACGCACATTTCAGGTTAACAACAAGTACTTTACCAAGGAAGAAGGATTTGATTACGCCCTTGGCTATACAGAAAGTGATACGGGTTATGATAAGCCGAGCAAAGTCTATGCTAAGGTGCTCCGAGTGGTCAAATGTCCTGCGATTAATCTAAACGAGAGGACGTACGTGGCCGATTTGGGCAGCGCCAGTGTGTCTAGTAGCAAATCCAACCCGGTTGTTGATAAATATCGACAAAATCCAGCGAACCCATCTGTAAAAAATGATTGGGACGCCAATGGCTACGATGAGAACAACGTCGTCACCTCCACCACTCCTACTGTTAGCACTAGCGCCTTCACTTGTGACTACTTCCTTGAGGTGAGTCACCATTTACCACTTTAAAATATCGGATTTACTTGAAGAGCAGTAATACGTATTTTGCTGTCAAACTACTAGCTTACTGTGGATGATGAGGTCTACAAAGGGCCAGTTATCTTGGTCGACCAGTACGCCGACAACGCTTCCAAACGCACTGACATCAGTCCCCTTTCCAAAAGAAATGATTTCAAAATCTCTGTGTAGAGGAAGAGGTCACAGCCTTCTCGGAATTGACTCTGTGATGAACAATCTTTTCAAAAGTATTCAACTTGCCTGTGCCTCCAACTTTTTCCGTTCCTATGCACTCGTCTATTTTCCTCTCCTTCTATGATGTCACAGTACCTATTATAGGACTTCATGCAAGGATTCACTTCTTTTGTAATATTTTACTGCTCAGCCCTCCCTGTTTGCCCCCACTGTTTAAGCTAGGCGGTTTTCGGGTGCGTAATATTTTCACTAAAATAGCAACTATTCATAACATTTGGCTTGTGTCCTATGTGCACCAACGTTTGTGCCTGCAGTGATTCCAGCGACAAGGTTAAAGCTTCTTTAAAATGGGTTTGAATGAAAGCAGCCTAAATACGATTAAGGTTAAAGCTACTTTTTTGGTCTTTAGGCTTAGTCAATTTGTGGGTGGTCATACTACTCATTTCCTCAAATAAGTAGGGCCGTTGCTGCTCTTCTGAAAGAGAAATATCACTTTTCAATATTTTAAATTGCTTCAAGTAGAAGTACTGCTTGTAAGTATTGATGATATTTTGTGGAATAATTAATTCTTTAGTTTTAATGGATTGACTTTTGGAGAAGCGATCGTGTTTGGTGAGTCTGTATTACAGTAATGGCAGCATAGGAAATGATAGTAGTTTACCATGAGATTGCCCAAAAGGTTTCAACAAAACCGAATTTAACATAACTTTTAAACGATTAAAGTCGGTTCCTTGCCAGTCATTGTTTGAAGTTGAATGCTGTATCGTGCATTGGGTTCCTTAAGGAAGGACCGGTGGCGTAAAGTTTTTCAGCGCCCATTTTCAGTGGCGATGGGTCAACAGGAAATGCACGGTTGGTCCAGCCTGGTGCAGGAAATCTGTTTACATTAGTCTCCAAGATCACATTTATAAATAAACTTACTTTAGAAGGAGAACGGAATCTAGAAGCCGATGTGTTGACACGGAATGGACTTGTTTATTTATTTGGTGATCCGTAGGGTTTGCAGGTACTTTGAATCTGTCGGTTGCAAATTAGCTTATCCAGTGGTTCCCCTATGAAAGCGTATCAAAATAACTAAATTGCCCTAATTTATCAAAATACAGATCGTCTTTAAAGACCGGCATAGAAGGATAGCTGCTTCAACAACCACTGGGGATGACTCTAGTTTTTCCAGAATCTTACATAAAGTGGTCTCTTCGCCCAGCCTTTCCATGCTTTGATAATAAAGTTGCACTCAGGTATGCAGACCCGCGGGGGCAACTGCGGCACCACAATGCCATTGATAAGGTATGTGCAACCACATGGAGTTGGGTTTGATTCAGGGGATAGGAAGCTTCGATTTAGGCTCTAAAGGTCTTGCATTTCAATTGAGGTTTCTCCACGCAAATACCTAGTTGTAATGCCTAAGATGAAAGATTTTAAGTTACATTTTAACTCATTTTTAATGGGCTTTTTGAAATATTGGGTAAGTATGTAGTCCACGAAATCAAGGATGTAGTTCTGCCTTTAAGACCAAACATCTGTGTTGGCTTCTAAAATAAATTTCGAAAGAATATAAGCTGTTTATGGAAATGACTTTAAATGACTTTAAATTCCTAACGTTAATCAGTCATTAATCTGATCACTTTTATACGATTCTTCTTCACATTCTAAAAGTTTAACCCATCTTCTTCATAATCCATTAACCAATCCTTATCACTATTATTATTATTATTGTTTTGAGCGTAAGTATAGATCCCTTCAAACTCCCAACCGAAGTAATTAGGATATGAAGCCTTTGAATACGGACGTCTTAACCTGCTGACTGGTGAGTAAGCAGAGGGTGCGCGTCCGCTGCCCGACTAATGAAGGCACAGGATGACACCATTCTCGCATATTTTTAGTAGTTGATTGACCTAGGAATTTTCTGGAATGTTTTCCACCTCTCCCCTCATAAATTCTGTTAATGAACGCGTGGGTGTATGTTCGCACAGAACTGCAACCCCAATGGAGTTGCATTTAGTCCTTTCCTAGCACCTCTAGTAAAGTTCAGTACCCCAAAGCTCATATCAACTCCTTTTTCTGCGAATTAAGATATGGTTCTACTTGTTAAGGATTGTGGTTGTGCTTTGGCTGAGCTTTTGGGCTACTCCTTGCAAGCGCCCATTAATAAACTTCAGATCGGTTTAGGATTTGTCAGCTCACTCTTCAGTAGACTCGTGTCGGCCATAACAATTACCCATCTGTGCACTCTCTTCATCCCTGGTCCGATGGCCGTTGGAATTTGGAAGGCATAAGGGAGATTTAGACGTTCTCCACGCCATTCTCGATTTTGCACCAACAAACATACAGTTTAATCGTATGGATTAATTTTTTTAAGTTCTTCAATTTCATTTAGAAGAAAAACAAAATTTTATTAAGCCTATCATGGAAGGGGGTACACGCATCATTGCACATTGACTATGCTTGCTGCAAAACGAATTTTCTCGGTTTCTTATATCCAGTAAAGTGGGGCGAGTGATGTAAAGACAGCAGGAGTTTTTCCCTAATCAGTGGTCATAGGCAGAGTGAAGAGCCTGCTGCTGTAGTCCTAACAAAGGCCCAATCTGTTTCAAATTTACATTGCCTCATGGTATGTTAAATTCACTTCCTATCAAAAAATACAATACTCGTTCCGATGCAGTCAGTCAGCAGCTAACAAGATGAAAATGCCCATTAAATGAGTTTAGTAGAATCTGGCGTCCTGTCGCCTTATTCAGCGTAATTCTATCCTGAAGGACAATTTTTAGGGCATAAGTCAACCCATATGTATGAAAAAGTAGTTTTCACCTCCTTAATGCTTTTGTTATGCTTAACTCTGCGGAATCAAAAGCGGTAGAAAAACACTCTTGACGCATTATCCCCACACGTCATTAATTAAAATGCATAAAATTGTTACTAAAGAAGTACTGCCATTAAATTTGACCAAAGCAAAACCCGTGATGTCTAAAATTCGCCACCGACACCGTTCGATTCAAGCGGACGCACATAGCAGAATTGCGTGGCATCACCGTCTGTCGAAAATTGCCTCAACAGTCGCTCCACCACACAAGGCGAGCAACTTGGGATAGGTTAATAGGAAAGGCGTGTATTCGCATTAAATGCTGGAAATGAGGCTTTCTTTTCTGCCAACCCAGGACGTTCCCAGGCGTTGCCATTACTTGGGGTTTGAGAGCGTAAACTTGGGTTCTGTTGATCTCCTCCCCTTCCAACCATTCAGAAATCGATGAACAAAGACTTCAATGTAGAATGGGATTGATTAACACGTTTTGGCCTTATTAAACCTTAAATCTTGGTACTGTTACACCGAATCTGGTATTAATATATCCAACTTTATCGTTAATCAAGCAGTGACACCCTAATCATGACAGGTGTTAATGTGCAACTTCGTTATCCGGCCACTTAATCGGGTGGGCTGTATTTACCGCAAGCCCAACAATAATTATTGCCCGCTCCTTCGGTGTTAGCGATGCAGAACCTTTTTAAACAACAAAATAAGGCAAAGGAGATTGTAACTTAAACGTAGTTGCCGGCAGTCCTGTAATAATTGAATCGTTTGTTTAGCTTCCGGTTTTGGTAATGGGCAACTGAGGCCTCCACCGTTGTGCCCCTACCGGCTAACCTATTCTCCGGGCCAAGCCAATATCTGCCTATTCCTCTATAGATCGATGGTACCTAGTCTGACTGAGTTTTTTGTCTCCAAAGAAGCGGAGACCGCTACGCTGGAAAAAGCGGAAAACGAACCCGATCCTAAAGGTCAATTACCTTAATTTCTATTCTTGATTGCTAAAAGCCTAAACACAATGGAATAAGGGTCTGTGCTGCGGATCGGAGAATCTATCGTGACCCCTAAGGAAGGCCTGATGGTAGCGTCTACCTCCATCAACTACCCCAGTCCCGTGTTCTGCAGGAACGCTATTCACAAATTAAGAAACACTAGGTGTGGTCTTGAACTGTCTGAGAAGTTAATTACAAAGTTGTCTACGGTATCTGTATGAGGACATCAATGAAGTAAACATGCGATATCTTCTACACGTCCCCAATAGCTGAAAAAATCCCAAATAGTTATGATTGGATAGCACTGAGGCGGGTACACAATGGCAAGGAGCAATGGACGCGAAACCCTACCCCCATGGATTTATACTAAATTACACCCCTCATTAAATGCCTCTGCGTTTAAACCGGTGTTCCTGCGGCTGGAAACAGACACGCATGATGGCCAGCCCCGACCCCTCTATGCGTCGGCAATGCATATTCTACCATAGTATCATGTCTTCTTTTGTCTTCAGGTAAGTCTCGGAGCGCTACAATACACTGACGAAGATGGCAGTGATGATGACGATACTGCAACATACATCTACCAAATCTACAGAGCGGTTGCCCACAACTAAGTATTTTACGTATTTCTTCCAAATCAACATCGTTAATGTCTGTCAAGAACAAGGGATTGATTGGCAGCCTTTGATGTTTTTGTTAAGGTTAAGATTATTAGGCATTCCTGTTTGTGAGAAAGTAAAAAAATGTCCTCAGGCATCGCTCCAAATCAGAATGGCTTCAGGTTGGATGAACTGCACTGTTTTATTGATGCCACCAACAGGTAATTTATTGCGATTTAAGACAGTTGAAATCAAGGCTAACTAAATTGAGCTGCATTAAGGTTTGTGAAAATTTTGAGGTCACTTTTAGAAGACAACCAGCAGCGGGACCAGGAAGGCCTCAGTTGTATGATATAAAACGCCATCTTTTAAGTTTTCCAACATTCATCGGTCGCCGCCTCTGGTCTGTGTCAATCACGATTCGTGCTTCCATTTTCTTCTTCAAATCGTCAAAAATAAAGTAAGTATTAGAGAATGGGTCCATTTGAGTTTTGAATTGCAATCACCTGCTAGAATGATCATTGTGTTGAATACCGTAGTTGTCAGGTGGTACTTTCCTGGAATGTTAAAAAAACGGGAATCTGAAGAACTAGAAAGTAGTCA